AAAACTTGGCATAAGCCATTTTGCTAGGGGGTTCTGAGAGCTTCTAGGATGGTAACACTGATGTCCTGGGCAGATGTTATTCCTAAAGACAGCATAAAAACTTTGTAGTCACCTTGCCCTGTGCAATCCTGGATTTAGCTGTTCCTTTTTGGTGTTTTATAAACTTAGAAGAATACACTATCTTAATTAAAGTATTTTTTAAAATATTTATTTATTCATTATGTATACAATGTTCTGTCTGTGTGTATGCCTGCAGGCCAGAAGAGGGCACCAGACCTCATTACAGATGGTTGTGAGCCACCATGTGGTTGCTGGGAATTGAAATCAGGACCTTTGGAAGAGCAGGCAATGCTCTTAACCACTGAGCCATCTCTCCAGCCCCCTTAATTAAAGTATTTTCTGAAGGCCTTTAATGTGTTCTAGAAAACCTAGCAAAAGCAAGGGGAACTCACGGGAACTCCTGAATCTGCACCCAAGTAGTACCTGAGTAGCATAGAGACAGGATGTTTTTACGATTGACATCTGAAGTGGGGAAGGTCTTGTGGGGCTGAACCCTTATCCTGCGGGGTCTCTTCTAATTCTGGGAAGTTAGTGTCAAAACCAAAATAGAATTATGGGACATCCAGTTGGTGTGATAAAGTTAGCAAATTAGTTTTGGAAAGAGATATTTGTTGTTGGGAAAGATACCATACAGGTGGTGTCAGAGAAAACTACTTATGGATATATATGTTACCTAAGGTTAGGGCCCAGTTTCCCTCAGCTGGCCAGATGATACAGCCACATTAAAGCATCTGTCACGCCTGTGTTGTCTACGAGGCTGAGAGCTGGGGAGTGTGAGGCGTGTCTTAAAGAGTGTACATTCACTTTCTGCGGTCGATCCATTCTCCAGACCTGAGACAGGCAGAAAGAGGTGACTGACCCTCTCTCCCTCCCTCCTTCCCTTTTCCCTCCCTCCTTTCCCTCTCTTCTTTTCTTTCTTTTTGTTCAAAGATCTATCAAGCAAAGTTTATTGAGAAGTAAAGAACTAGCTCCTTACAGTCAGGAGGGGACTTCAAAATAGAATTGCCCAAGAAGAGATTTTTAAAAAAAGAATACATAATTAGGTATGCAGAAATCACAACAAAGCTGCATGGTGGCGCACACCTTTAATCCCAGCATTTGGGATAAATCTACATAAGCATGTAGATATCTGTGAGTTCGAGGCCAACCTGGTCTACAGAGCAAGTTCCAGGACAGGCTCCAAAGCTACGGAGAAACCCTGTGTCAAACAAGCAAACAAACAAACAAACAAACAAGCCCCACTTGATACTATTGATACTATAAAGCCTATGACCTGCTATCTCGCTATGTAAATTTTTCTTTGAGGATGTCTACACTTTGATTTCATCTCTCTTAAGAGAAAAAAAAATCTCACCAATCCTTTCCTGTATTGTGTAGACATCGCTGACCTGGTACACTGAGAAGTGCTTGGGTGACCCGCGCTAGCTCCACTATTGACAGAAATAACTGCACCCATGCAAATGTACCCCACTCAACTGGCAATAAATGTTCCTGCCCAAATTCTCTTAGATAAACTCCCAGTGGCTCTCTCACACCAGCTGAGCCACGTGAGGATTGTGAAAGAGGGAAGGTCTGAGTGGAAAGAGATAAAAGTCACAGCTACAGTCAAAATATTTCATCTTACCTGAGCATGTGACTGGATGTACCCTTAGAAGAGGTGCATAAAACTGAAGGGCCTTGAAGATCAAACCTTATAGACTGTCTTAGGTTCCTATTGCTGTGAAGAGACACCACGACCATGGCAACTCTTCTAAAGCAAAACATTTAATTGGCGCTGGGCTCACAGTTCAGAGGTTTAGTTCACCATCGTCATGGTGGGAAGCATGGTGGCATGCCAGCAGACTTGGTGCTGGAGAGGATGCTGAGAGTTCTACATCTGGATCAGCAGGCAGCAGGAAGAGAGAGTGACCCTGGGTCTGGCTTCGGCATCTGAAATCTCAAAGCCTGCCCCCAGTGATACACTTCCTTCAACAAGGCCACACCTCTTGATAATGCCACTCCCTATGAGCCTTTCAGGGCAATTTTCACTCAAACCGCCGCACAGACTTCCCACCAAAGTTTCCTCTGCCAAGCACAGGGTCAAGGGCAAAACAGGTCCTTAGAAGCTTGAAACTGTACAAAGACTAATTCATCTGTATGCAAGCCCGTTGGGAGCGGGATGGGGAGGGCAGTAACGTCGGTAGAGGTGGGAAGGAGTGACTGCGTTGAATCAATTATTGTACGTCAGGGATTGTCTGTGTGCTTTCATTATAAAATGTGTTCTGATGCAGGAAGGGAAATAACAGGTTCCTCCATTTAGAAACAGTTGAGTGACTAAATTTTAACAGCCCTGAAAACAGCTTTTACAGCACGTAACTCATAGTCTCTCCTTGCTGCCTAGAAGCTAGCAAATCCCATGGGCAATAAGGGGGCCTACCTCCTGCCTTCTGGCCTCATTTAGGACATCCTCACAGACACTTAGTGTCAGGGTCCGGATGAGCGTCACGGTCATTTGAGACTCTGTTTAACAACTCGGATGTGATGAGGCCTTTCTTATCTCCAGATCAGAGCTGAAGTTCTTAGGTTCATCCAATAAAGGTGTGAAAGGGGGCTTTAAAAATGTAGTTGACACTCGCCATCGGGAGGATGCCTGCACAGATCGTTCCAGGAGAACTTCTGATACCAAAAGGGATTGGCGTTTCCAGAGTCGGAAAGATGAACCTTAGATTGCATGTGAGGACACACTCTGCCCCAGTAGTTTAGATCACGGATGGCCTACCTGGAAAAGAAAACAAACGCTGTTTGGTTTACCTTTTCTCTTCCGGTCTACAGGCTCTGATGTGTCAGCCCAGCTCGACACAGGCGTTAGGAGTGGGTGGCATAGTTTGCTGATAAGAAAGTCTAAAGGCTTAGGAACCAAAGCTAATATAAAGATACATAAAAGATGAGGGGTCATGGGTAGGAGCATTAGCAACCTGCACAAGACAGAGGTCAATTCTTTAGGGTGTACTAGGTAGCGTCTTCAAATTGAGTAGTTCTTCCTGATCGTTTCAAAGTCCCACATGGGAAGTATTTATTCTCTCTCTCTCTCTCTCTCTCTCTCTCTCTCTCTCTCTCTCTCTCTCACACACACACACACACAAAACTACTACTATTACTACATATATGAGACAAGGCTTCACATAGTTCAGGTTATTCTTAACCTTTCAATGTAGCTGACCTTGAATTCAGGTTTCTCCTGTCTCCACCTCCAAAGGGTCAGAATCACTGGCACACACCACTATGCAGGGTTTATGAGATGCTGAGTTTCAGGCCCAGGGTCTCAAGCACACTAAGAAAGCACCCTACCACTTGAGCGGCAACCACAGCTGCAACATGACTGTCCCTGGGATAGCTTAGCTTCTGAACCCCCCTTCTTGCGATTGGAGGATCCCATTTTCTGAGTCTTTCTGAAGACAGTGCCTGCTATTTAAAATGCCACTTTAGAGGCACAAAATGCCAGGCCTTTGTTTCCCAGTTCTCCTAGTGGAAACTGGTAAGTTCTAAAATATGGGCTAGGCGAAGCCATTTAGGGATACCTGCCTTGGACTTGGGGTCAGGGACACAGACATAGGCACTGCTGAGCACCCCCCCCCACCCTACATACACACACATACACGCACCCCAGCCAAAGTCAGCCAGTTCAGTTCTGTGGTGTGAAACTCATGACCAAATTGTAGGTTCTGACATGGTGGTCGCAAGCAAAAGTCTATTTTTTTTAAATTTATTTATTACGTATACAGTGTTCTAGGCACCAGATCTCATTATAGATGGGTGTGAGCCTTCATGTGGTTGCTGGGAATTGAACTCAGGACCTTCAGAACAGCAGTCAGTTCTTTTAACCTCTGAGCCATCTCTCCAGCCTGCAAAAGTCTATTTTAGAGAGCTTGCAGGACAGTAAGAAATTTATGTAGTTCTCTCAAGTATTTAAACGTGAATTTATGCCGCATTTTCTGCTTTAGAACTATGTTGGCAGCTGTTTTGATCACTGATAAAAAACTCATAATATCTTGAAATAACTAGGGAGTGTATCCTATTTTAGCGTACAGGATGCTGAGGCCCAGAGCCCAGAGCCTAAGTGTCCTGCTGAAGCAGCAAAACCCATTCAAAGGCAATGCTAGAAATGAGGACCTACAGCCGTGTGACCTCATGCTCCCATTCATACATGCCCACAGTGTAACCACGGGAAGTCCCCAGAGAAAGCCGGCTCACCAGGACATCACCTCCAAAAGGACCAGACAGGAACACCCAGCATTAATGCCACCTGACGCGGCCGTCCGCTGTGTCAAGGAAGCCGCCAACCTCCAACTGAAGACCAGGACTTTGGAGTCTGACAGCTCTTTTGCCTTTTCCCTTCTACAAGCCAGCTTAGACTATAACCAGCTGCAGAGGCCAATCACAAGACAAATAGTTACTGGCTTTTTTCTAAGAATGGACGCCTTCTTGTGAGAGGGGAAGATTGAAATTGAAATATATTGCATGAAAAAAAAGAATTTTTTGGTTTTGGTTTTGATTTTTTTTTTCGAGACAGGGTTTCTCTGTGTAGTCCTGGCTGGCCTGGGACTCACTGTGTAGACCAGGTTGTTCTAATACTCAAGAGATTGCCTGCATCTGCCTCCTGAGTGCTGGAATTAAAGGCATGCACCACCATAACCTGGCTCATACGAAGCATCTTTAAGAAATATATTTTAAAAGAATAATTCCTGGCTGTACTCTTAGCACCCTGGAACTGAAGCATAAGGGTTGCTAATAGCTTAAGGCTACTTCAGGATACATGAGTTCAAGGGTACTTGGATTACCGAGTGGGACCCTATCTCAAAAACAAACAAACAAACAAACCACAAAAGACTTACTTTTTTTAAAATATTTATTTAGCTATTATGTATACAATATTCTGTCTGTGTGTATTCCTACAGGCCAGAGGAGGGCACCAGACCCCATTACAGATGGTTGTGAGCCACCATGTGGTTGCTGGGAATTGAACTCAGGACCTTTGGAAGAGCAGGCAATGCTTTTAACCACTGAACCATCTCTCCAGCCCCCACAAAAGACTTACAACTTGCCAGACTTGCTGTGGCACTGAGACTAGTAGTATTCAGGAGGCTGAGACAGGAGGATTTGAGGCTGGGTGTAAGGCTGGCTTGGCTTTATACTTGGGCCCTTGCCAAGAAAGAAAGCGTGGGACACAGTGGCGAACACCTTTGATCCTAGCACTGGAGAGGCAGAGGCAGGCAGATCTCTGAATTCGAAACCAGGCTGGTCTGCAGAGCGAGTTCCAGAACAGCAAGGATTACCTAGAGAGATCCTGTTTTAAAAGAAGGGGTGGGGGAAGGAGGAAGGGAGGGACGGAGGCAGGGAGGGAGGGAAACTTATGTCAGGTCATCTTAAGGGAGGTTACTTACAGCTAAAGCACAGTCAAGGAAATAGTAATCAGGGAAGCTTTCTGGTAAAATCCCCCAGGACAACGCCACACCGAATAACACACTGAAGACAAACGCGCTCTCCAGAATCCACCCTCGCAGCGGCAGAAGGTTGCGGCTTCAGGTACAGACTTAACTCTGAAACTGGAACAATCACCGCTCCCAGGATATCAGCTGCAAAACAGTAATGTGCACTTAATGAGAATTTCAAGGAATGCTCCTTCATTTGGTAGAGGCGCTGTCTATAGGCAACGACTGCAGTTACTGCGGGCAAACGCTGGGAGTTCAGCTGTTGTGTTAAAAATAAAAGGTCGGGTTTCAGCTCAGAGCTCCTCCCAGACCGATCACATTCCCGGAGACAGATAACACATGCTTTAGTCCCAGTCTCCTTCTGGGTACCCTGTTTTCATTCCATTCTTTCTCTTCTTTTTTTAAAATCTAGATTCAGATTTTGTTGTTATTTATTTTGTTTTGTTTCATGAGACAGGATCTTGCTATGTAGCCCAGGCTGGCTTGGAACTAAATAGCCTGAAACAGCCTCGAATTCGAGGTCCTCCTGCCTCGACCTCCCGAGTGCTGGGATTACAGGCATGAGCTATCACAGTGGGACTTGGATTTAGCTTACATGTCTGTTTGCTGGTTTTTATGCTGCTCCTCAAGATACAGACAGTACCCTTCTGACTGAACTCAGAGCAGAAGGGAAACACTGGTTGTGGGGGGCCGCACAGGCCAAGACTGACAAAACTCAGCAAACGGAACAGTTTGCTTCCTTCTCTACAACAGACTTAAAATCAGACTCAGACTCTCGGAATTACCACGGGGTTTTCAGGGGGCTCCCATTATGCCGAACACCTTAAATGGCCGCAGGACATTTGCTGAATTAATGACAGACACTTATCTATTACCTGCTGGGGTGAGATTCAGGTTTCCTCTTTGGTCCCTTCTTTGTGGTGGGATCCCCCATTACCTTTTAACCGTTCCAGGCTCCTCCTGGCTGTGACTGCTCTCTGTCAGTATTTAGGATGATCTTCTGAGGAGGAATGCTCCTCTGGTGGGATTGCTTAATGTTTTCCTCATGATTCAACTGGGGCTATGGGCGAGGGGCAGGAGCTTCCCCCTCCCCCCAAACAGAGTACCATTCTCATCAAATTGTGTCTCGGGGCTCATGCTACAGCCACCACACACATTCGCGGAAGTCACTTTCCCTTTCCCCTCACATCTCAGGGATCATCTCCCAGGTCTCCGTGTAGTCTTGATTTTCTTTCTTTTTCAACGAGTTATCGTATTTTTCAAAGTGAAACTGGAGATCAAATATTCAGGAGCAGACAGGGTCTTTAGTGCTAGTGGGACTTCAGGTCCAGAATTCCTTCCTATCTAAGCCTTCTCATCGCTCCCTTGGCCAATAGAATCACCTTCCACTTGTGAGACTCTTCTCATGCCAGAATACAAACCAGGTGACGACCATCAGTAAGAGACAAGAGGAATCACCAAGTGTGTCACTCACATTGTCCAGGACGTTTTTAGAGAGCTTGAGCCTAGCTAAATATAGCTGCAATTCATTTCTGTTGCTAAGCATTGCGTTTTTATTAGACAGGGTGCTTGGTTTGAAAAGGCAGGGTCCGGCTCTCGGAGCGAAGTGTTTGGATGAAAAGACTGGCGATGTTGCCAGTTGGTCAGGTTGAGCCCCGATAGGCGAGGCGTCCTCCCCGAGCCTCCCCCCCCCCCCCGTGAAGCAATGGAGAAACCTGCTTTCTGGGATAGCCCGCTTTGTCACTGTCTGGGCGTCTCGGGAGCACATCGTTTCTGTCAGCCGCGGCAGAGCTGAGCTATGACTGTGATTGCTCGGCTGTGTCTGTCTACAGCCATGTGCTGCCGGCGACAGCGAAACAAATAGCCCAGTCGGAAGAGCAAGGGCGATTTGCGGGAGAGAGAAGAAAAAATTAGACAAAATCCTTCTTCAGGAGGAGACTCTAACACTAAATCAGAGAGCCTGCTGCAGACTCTGGGTGCTGGAGGCTGTGGCAGGTAATACAGGCAAGTTTATGTAGGGAATTCTTCTCTGGCAGCTGAAGGAAAGCAGAAAGGCCGTCTCGTCTTTCCGAAGCTTACGAGTATGCGTCTTACGAAACAGGCCCGGACGAAACGTGTCAGGTTTCTTATTCCCCAATAAGACACCAAAAATGGGTCACTCAGAGAGAAAAGGCATATCTGTGTAGACATTGGATAGAGGAACCCACCGTTTATTATTGTATGGCCCACAGTTAAGCATAATTTTTATGGAGTTGGACTTTTTGAGATGTCTATGCAACTCGCATTGCAGGGCTCATAATAAAATGTAGGGGCGCAGGCAGACCCATTTGTCTACGTTCTGTTTGAGGCTGTGTTCATGCTACAGAGGCAGGACGAGTTACAACAAAGCCTAAAATGTCTCGTTTGGTTCAATATTATAGCCAGGGTGGCTTAAGAAACAAATGTGTTTTCTCACAGTTCTGAAAACAGGAAGCCCAAGATCCATGCGCATGTGAGAGTTCTTTCTTTGACTGTGGATGACTGTGCTTCCCTGCTGTGTTCTAACGTGGCAGAAGGATACAGCGAGCTCTCTGATACCTCGTAACTCATAAGGGCTCTAACTCCATCGTGAGGACCCAACTTCCTGACTTCATCTAACCCAGCTCCTCCCCAAAGGGTCTGTCTCCAATGACCACGGCCATGAAGGCTATGATGTTGACTTTTTAAGTTTGGAGGGGAATACAATTTAATTCCTAGTGGCTTACTATGCCTTTCCAGAAAAGGATGACCCATCTTTGTTCATAAGGAGACACGACACAAGGACTCTTTAAGACAGTGGTTCTCAACCTGTAGGTCATGATCCCTTTGAAGGTCAAATGACCCTTTCACAGGGCTCATAAGACCATCAGAAAACACAGATATTTACATTATAATTTATAACAGTAACAAAATTAGAGCTATGGAGTAGCAATAAAAATAATTTTACAGTTGGGAGTCACCACAGCATGAGGAACTGTATTAAAGGCTTACAGGGTTAGGAAGGTTGAGAACCAGCGTTCTACGAAGATAGTGTCTTGTTGCTTGGTCCCACTTAACAAACTGTAAAAAACAGAATGCAAAACGCTCAGCATTTCCTAGTTATTATATAACTGCATTCTAGAAAAAAGCTGAAAATTTTGGGTTGTCATGTGAAAATATTCAGAACCTAGTGAATTAAAATTCATGATATTATATACCTAAAAATAAAAAACCTACAAGGATGAAACAGTTGATGGTGTTAAAACACACAAACACAAACACACACACAGGTACAGGTATTATTGATAAGGATATTAAAACAACTATTGTCATTATGTTCAAGATACTTAAAAAGTTTATAGGCAGAAATATATGTTAAATCAAATTTCCAAAGATTAAGAATTTTAAAATCTGAGAAGAAAATTATAGTAATGGGATTCATGGCAAAATATTTGTGAATCTGAAGCCAAAGCAATAGAAGAGCATCCAAGGCTAGGAATGGAAAACTTCCACATGAAAATGAAAGCTCGCCTGTGAACCGGATGACCCCTCAGGAACCAATAAACATGCCACCCATGTCCTACAGGTGCGGGGAAGGACACACAAACCAGTTGGAGAAGTTGAAAATCTTCAGCTTTGTCAAGAACCATAAACAAATGGGTGGGAGAAACTCAATGAGTCGTAAGCACAAAAACTTCATGAAGAAAACCCCATAAAATCATATCCCAATCAAACACCAGCCTGAATATCATCGACGAAGACAGAAATATTTAAAAAGCAGCCAGGCAAACAGACAAATGCTCAGAAGAACACAGAGAGGGGCTGTCATAGATTTCTCCTGAGAAATAATACAAGGCCAAGACGGGAGAGCAGCATCTTTAGGCTGCTGAAAGACAAATTCTGTCATCTAGGTGTTCAGCCCAGTGAGAACATCTCCCCAGGATGGAGGTGAATCACAGGCATTTTCTGATGCATAGAAGCTGGGAAAATACATCACTAGCAGACCAAACACACAAGAAGCATGAAGGGAAAATTTTGGACAGAAGGAAAAGAACACCAGGTGGAAATATGGATATGGACAAAAAATGGAGCCTGGCAAAAGGGGAGACTGTGGGGAAATATGTAAGGCTGTTTTTCTTAAAACCTGAATAGCTTTATAACTTTAAAAGATAATTGATGGCTTAAACAAAAATAACAATGATTTGTGTGTGTAGATGCGTAAGTAAAACACTGGAAACAATAGCATACGTGTCAGGAGGAAGAAATGGAGGACCTCCTTACCAGAATCTTTTAGCATGTGACTGGGTGTAGCCTAGGTAAATATAATTTTTATATTTATGTGTAAAGATGTATAATTATGATTTTATACATATTACAAGCCCTCAAACACCCACTAAAATAGCAGCATTACAGGTAGTAAGTTTATGGTAAAGGAAGTAAAATAGAATCATAAAATACATTCATCCAATTACAAAATGACATCATAAGTAATGAATCAACAGCAGATGAGGGGAAATCAAGAACATCTACGTCAAATGGAATCTGGGCATAGTGGTTTATAGCTATAATCCTAGCTTTGGGAATCTGAGGCAGGAGGATTAACACAAGTGAGAGGTCAATCTGGGCTACATAATGAGTTCCAAAATGGCCTAGGCTGTCATATAAAACTGTAGCACAAATAATAAAAACCCAGAGACAGATATTGGGTTCAGGCTGAAGATCAAAAAAAGCAAAGCAGCCAACACTGGAGAGACCTTTTACCTCTACCAAATTATCAGACCAAAGGGATAAGATCCTGTCTTCACGAATCCTCAGACTCCTCCCTCCAGTGAGTTCCTGTCTCTTCCCCATTTTATTCCTCTCTCTGCCCAGCCATATCGCTCCTGTCTCCACCTCCCCAGTGCTGGGATTAAAGGTGTGTGACACCATTGCCTGGCCTCTAGTTGCTTAGTTTTGCATCCTGATCTTTAGATAAGCTTTATTGATTAGAATACAAATAAAGTATCACTACATAAAACCCTCTTTAAAACAAGACAAAATGAATATACAGGTCAAATAGAAAACAAACAGCAATATGGCTAATTTGCACCTAACCTATGAAATATAAATGGACTAAACATTGTGATTAAAAGACAGAGATTAGCTGGTCCTGGTGACCCCTGCCTGTAATTTCAACACTCGGGTTTATAAAGGAAGATTGAGAGTTCAAGGCCAGTTTGGGGCATATACTAGTAAGTTTTAGCAGTCAATTTGACACAACCTAGAATTACTTGAGGAAAGAGTCTTACTGGGGGATTGTCTTGACCGGATTGGCCTGTGGGCATGTCTATGGGAGATTATCTTGATAGTCATTTGAAGTGGGCAGGCTGGACCCAGAACTGTGTAAGAGTGAAGAAAGTTAGCTGAGAACGAGTGGCAGCAGGCAAGCCACACGATGCTTTTCTTTCTCTGCACTCTTGACTGCAGATGTGGTGTGACCAGCCAGTTTAAACTCCTGCCTTGGGGATGTCACTACAATTCTGGACCTGGAATTCTAAGTCATATAAACTACTTCTACAGCTAAATTGCACTTAGTAGGTATTATGGTTTAAGTAAAAACAAATTTATTTAGATAGTTTTATTGAATAATCATTCAGAAATGAAAACCCAAAGACCTAGGGAAAGCTTCTATAAAAAGGAACAAATTAAGCCTGGTGCACGGTGCACACTTGCAATCCCAGCACTTGGTGGGCGATGCACACTTGCAATCCCGGCACTTGGGAGGTGGAAGCAGGAGTATCATAATTTCAAGGCCAGCCTGGGCTATGTGGCTACGTAGCAAGACCTTGTTGTATCCACAACTCCCTTGAAAAAAAAAAAAAAAAGAGGAAAATAAGCTTATGTGATGGGCAGTGGTGGTGCACTTTTGACACCAGCACTCGGGAGACAGAGGCAGGAGGATCTCTGTGAGTTTGAGGCCAGCTGGGTCTACAGAGTGAGTTCCAGGACAGTCAAAGCTACACAGAGAAACCCTGTCACGAACCCCACCCCCAAAAGAGTATGTGCAATAGGAATTCATTTATATTACAGTCTAGAAAGTGAAAATTAATCTGTAGTGGCAGAAAATATATTAGTGATTTCCGGTAGATGGGAGATGGGGAGACACAGTGGGAAAAGATTACTGTAAGAGTAAGAGGAACCTATGGGAGTAGATGTTTCCGCTCTCTTGATTGAGGTGATGATGCTATAATTACATTCTCATGTCAAAACAGATCAAACAAAAACATTTCAAGTATATATTATTTATTGTATATCAATTACCCTATAATAAACTTGTCAATCATGGCTGCTGTTCCGAAGAATCTAGCTTTACCTACACTGAGTCTTCCGGTCCTCGGAGTCTTTTCCATCTGATATTCTTTAGTCCTGAGAATGGTTTGACCCAGGAACCGGCAGGGGAGTCTATTTATTTATTTGTTGATTTCTTTATTCATTTATTTTGGTAGTTTGGGAGAAGAGATAAAGGCCTGCTCTCTTACAAGTCTTTGCAAAAATGCAGGGTGATGAGCTGCAGATGAGTCAGGGTGCTGAGCTGTCATATTCTCCCAGGCCTTTGGGGCTTTCCAGCTGGTTTCCAGCTAGGGCAGGTTTCTCCATTTTACTTTATAGAAACCTAAAGGGTGAGAGCGTGATTTCTAAACGGAGCAGGGCCCTTGCAGATGTCCTTGTCTCTTGGCACGCGTGTAAAGCCTGTCTTCTGAGAGAGGACAAAGAGATTATGTGCCTTGCTTAAGAACAATAAGCAATGCCACAGCCTGTTAATTCCACGGCTTCCCAGGAGAAGAAAGAACTTTCACAATGAGATGTCAGGGGGTCTCCCCATGACAACCTCCCTCTGTATTTAAGCCGGTGCACACTCCACCTCTTAGGGTACCCTGCCTTATCTCTAATTGTGGGATGGAAGGTTTTGTCTTAATAAAAGAATCTCAGGCATGGCAAGAATGGAAAGTATTTTGGTAGGACAGGGTGGGGGTGGAGTGAAGTCACATGATTGCATACTTCAGTAGTGTAGGGAAAAACCTAACTACTGCTAGCCAGTATGCTCCAGAAGCTGTTTGCTTTCCAGCGGCATTTGCAGTCTAGTGCAAGTAAATTCTAGGCGAACTACCTAAGGACCCCGAACAGGCAGTGGGTCAACTTTAATGGCCTTTTCTCTGTTTCCCCGTGTTTATAGTTTTGTGAGCTTGTGTTTGCAAATAGAGCAGTTCCTCTATTTCCTTGTTTCCATGGTAGAAGGTTCAGCTGCATCCCCCGGCTCCACAGCCATTCCAACAGGCCACATAGAGGCTGTGCCATAATGTGGTGTGAGTTCCCACTCAACAAACTTCTTTGCTTTTTATCAAATCTGGCCATTGTATGAATTGGTGTTTCTCCTCAATGTGGCAAAAATACCCAACAGAAACAACTGAAGGGGAAGCAAAAAGACTTCTTTTTAGCTCATTTCTGTTCCCCATGGAAGAAAAGGAAGGTTGGAGTGGCTGCATCATCCACAGTGATGGGATGTGACAATGGAAGAGGAAGCAGAGGAAACATGGACCAGAGTGACCTATGCCCATCAGATAGGTCTCATGGCCCAAAGGTGATTTCCCCACATGTGGGTCTGTGGGAGACCTTTCTGACTCAGACATAAAAGCTGTCTTTCGGGTCTTCTGCACACTGGAAGGGGGAGACCCCTTACATGGAGTGAGTTGTTCAGGAGAGCTGTCCATATTGCTGACCTGAAACCTGGAAGCAGACTTTGGCTTCAGTCCTCTGGACACCTGGGAGAAGCTGGACAGTGAATGGGGAAAAAAAAAAAAAATCCTCTGGTAAGGTTTTCTCTCCTCAGAAAGGACACTTTGGAGAACATGGTGTGTGATTTCTCCTTGGTCTTAATAATAAAGACCTGGAGTCAGATATTAGGGGGTGAAAGCTGAAAGATCAGAGAAGCAGAGCTCACAAGCGCTTTCGTTACCGTCTTAATTACTGATGTTAAACTCTGAGATCACACACTAGACTTCACAGAACAATATGTGTGCCTGACGTATAAAATGGCAATGAAAGGGTTAGAGAGGTGACAGTGTCCGAGACCCCTTGTCCAAGGCAAGATTGGCACCCTGAAGAACACAGCAGGTGATTAGAAAAGGTATTGATGAGGCCGATCTGAAAGGCGAAGCAGAACCCTCATGGTTCAAAGCACAGGGCTGGGTCTGGACGAAGCCAGGTTTGACTAGGTCACATCCAGCAACAGAGTCAGAGCCTGAGCCCCATGACAGAATCCAGCTCAGGAACTGGTTCCCTGTAGAATCGTGTATGTCCTGGAATGTTTGATGATTGGATAGTACTGTGCCCATCTGGGAGTGTCCTTCTGGGGAGGGGGTTGCATCCACTGTTGGTCTGATATGTTTGATCACTTCACAGTCCTGGCTTTTCGTCTACATATTTTTACAACTGTAATGACTATTTTGCCTAAGGGTCTGTCTGTGTACCACTTGCATGCCTGGTCTCCTTGGAGGCTGGAAGAGGGGTCTGATACGCTTGCAACTGAAGCTGCAGACACTTGTGAGCTGTCATGTGGGCGCTGGGAATTACACTCCGGTCTGCTACAAGAGCAGTCGGTGCTCTTAACAACGGAAACCATCTCTCCAGCCCTGAAGGCGTAAGTCACAAACAATCCCACACCAGTTTGGAATTATGCTTAATAGAATGGTTATTTATTTAAGGGGGAAAAACTTACAGATCACCGTCCCAGACAACAGCCCTCTGTGCAACCAGGAAGGGAGTCTAGTCACTGGAGGAGCTGGAAACCAGAGAGGGCAGTGGCAGCTTTTTTAAAGAGCGAGAGACCACGCCCCTAATGGGATGGTATCTCAGCAGCTATTGGCTGAAGGAGCGGAAGGAGCA